CTGAGCCCGGGAGAGCGGCTGCCGCCCACCGTCCCCACGCCGCTCCAGTCCGTGTCTCTGCCCGGCCCCTTGGCTTCTCCAAGCTCCTCTCTGACCACCTCAGGCACGACGAGGAGAGAAGAGGCGATGAAGCAGCACCAGGGTCTTCGAGTTCTCTGTAAATAGCAGGTGCTCGACCGGTGCCAGGCTGGGCCCCTAACAGTTAGGGCCGCCAGCCCACCCACGCCTCGAGCAAGCTTGAAGAAGCCCAGTTCTGGGGCAGCCCTGCAGGCCACATCTTAAGGAGCACAGCGGAGGCTGCGTTCTGTCTCCTACTTGTGCCCTAGCCGGAAAACTGGAGCGGTGAACACTCCGGACAACCATACGTGGCACCCCATGCCCACCGTCCTTCACTCATGTCTAGGATTGGCCGGAAAATCCAAGGGAGGAGTCCTCTCCTGAGTCCATCCTGCTGTAATGGTGACCTCTCACCCCGAGGGCATCTTACCTGACACCCAAGGCGTTAGAAGGAAGAGGAGGCCAAAAGTGGAGCGGAGGCTGTGGGGCACCCGGGCCATGTTGGAGCTGGTGGCCACTTGGGACCTGGGGCTGGGGACCCCTTGTCTTATATGGGGCGAGGTTTGACGCAGTGGGGCTGGGGCCCTCAAGACTAAGCCTTAAGCAAATGGAGCCGCCCCACCCAGGGCCCTCTGATAACAGTGACCGCAGCTGCCGCTCATGGAGCCAGGTACCCAGGTGCTGGGCGGGGAGAGGAGCCGGGAGGGTCGGCCTCTGACGGGACTGGCGGGGTGGCCTCCCGGCCTGGGGAGACTGCGGCCACACACACACGCGCACGCACACACACACACACACACACACACGCGCGCGCGCGCGGCCACGCGCTCCGCCCTGGGTGGGGCAGGCAGCAGGACCAGGTGAGAGAGCACAGCAGAGAAAGCCCACGTGTTCACGCACGGAGACACAGACTGCAGGGACAGCAGTGATGGACGAGGCTGAGAGACAGCGCCAGGACGGCACCCAGGCCCGGGCCTCGCCGAAGCCTCGCACACAGGCCTCATCTTCCCGTTCATCTCCCCCTTCGGAAATTTAGACCTCCCGCGTCCGGGAACTCCTGAGCCCCCCTTCCCTTCTCCCTTGCGGGCACAGTCACTGGCCTCCCAGGACAGGGTTGGCACGGGGCAGGACAAGCCCCAGGCCTCACAGCTGCTGCCCTCTCAGCGCTCCTGATGGCTCGCTGCCACTCTCCCATGCCTTGTGGGCAAGGACCTGCCATCCTGGTGCTGCTGGGCCTCAGCACCTGAGACAGCACCGGGCACCAAGGCCTATCAGCAGTTGCTTCCTGGAGGGGAAGCCGGGCGCTGCTGCCCCTGAGAAGTGGGCAGCAGAGGGAGGGGCAGCCACACCTGGGGCTGGGCACCATGTTCCACGCGTCATGCTGGCATGACTGGTCCCTCGGCCCTGGGCAGGGCCGGGCAGGGCCGGGCAGGGAGCAGTGGCAGCTGCTTATTAACTCAGCTAATGGGAGATTAATGAGGCTGCCCCGGTCAGGCCAAGGGGGCCAGCGCAGGACTGGCTGCCCGCCAGGCACCTTATGCAGCGGGACAGGGACATCAAGCAGAGACAGCCCCTTCCCTACCGCTCCATCAGGGCCCCAGGGCTGCTCACACCACCCCTTTCTTAGTGCCGTCCCCCTTTCTCCAGGGACCCCAGCCTCTCCGGCAGTGGTTTCTGTGAGGATGCAGGGCGATTTCTGGAGACTCGGCAGTCAGGGAGGGTGCAGGACGCTGTGAGCATCACACGAAGCCTGGAGCGGAGCGGCCACCGAGAACGGTCCACCCCGAGCAGCAGGCCTAGGGCGGGAGCTGCGTGGAGCACAGCAGGACGAGGCTCTGTGTCACCGAGGTGGGTCTGTCTCAGCTGGGTGCCCGGGAAGCTGGCACCTGCTCAGCCGCGGAGCCCCGAGGTGCCCCTGCGCTGCCCCAGCACAGTGTGGGGAGACCCGGGGAGGGGGTGCTGCGGCCACCGTGCCCAGAGGGCATCACGGAGCGGGTCTTCCACGTGTTCGCAGGGGAGAGAATGGGGGTGTGAGGGGCCGGGAGCCAGGGCTGCCCTAAGGAGGGAGGCACGGGGTGCCCCTCCGTCTCTCCTGGGTCCTCGGTGCAGGAGTCTGATGCCTGGGGAGGGCGCTGGGAACGGGCTGAGTGCTGACGCTGACGCCCTGGCACAGGCTCCCCGAGGGCTGCAGTCCTGAGACCCCAGTCCTTCCTTCTAGAGCAGGGAGCGCTGGGTGCCTTCCTCAGGCCCCAGGGCCAGCAGCCGACCAGGGTGGGATCCCAGCCTCCCGGGACTGTGCCGGAGGAGAAGAGGCGAAGGAGGCACCCGCCGGTGCTGTGCATGCTCAGCCGCACCAGCCCGCACCGAGAGGGGCGCCGGCCCAGCCCCTTCCCCACCCTGACCCTGGTCCCATCTCCCCGCTCACTTCCTGCCCTCAGACCAGCTGCGTAGGGAGGGGACAGCTGCACCAGGGCTGGCGGGGGTGGGGGATGAAGACGTCTGCGGCTGGTCTGAGGGGTCCCGCGTGCACATGGTGGGGACAGGTGCTGGCGGGTGTCCCCGCGCTCCCGTCCTCCCAGCCTTACTTTACAGGACGGTGACCCACACCAGGATGCTTAGCCAGGACCACACATACAATGGGCTAACGATGGAGTCCCTGCCACTTTGCCTGTCAACGCCTTGCCTGTGGTTTGTGGCAGTGAGTGTGCGCCATTATGCACGGCACACACTGCTGCACCGTGAAAGGCGCAGCTGGCCTGTGGACTTAACACCTCTCTCGTTAGAGTGTAGTCCGACTGATTAAAAAGAAAAAACCTTGCTGTTATGTCAGCATCTGGGAGCCTGAAGCCAGAGGATTAATTGAAATCCACCCTGGACAGCTTACTGACTTAGCAAGGAGCCTGTTTGAAAAGTAGAGGTCTGGGGGTGTAGTTCAGTGTGAAGACCCCGGGTTTCGACCACAGAACCACACACATGCAGTTCACTACAGAGCACGCATTTGCCGGCAGCAGCCTCCTGCCTCTCACATTTACTGTTCCTGGGTTATGTTTCCGTCTCGAGTGCCTGGCTGGAACCCAGAGGAAAGAGGCCCGCTACTGAGCCCTCACCAGGCCCCGACACCTTCCCTGACCCCCAGAGGCCGCCCTGAGGGACGACCCATCCACACTCCAAGGCTTGGACAGTGACAGACCACCTGCGGACAGTCGTCAGAATGCCCGCATCGTGAGGTGTCGTCCGAGGAGCGCCGGGGACATGGGGCCATTCTGGCCGTTATGGTGGCCGGGCCTCCGAGACAGCCATGCTGCATGTGGAGCCCACCCTTGGGTGGTGCCAGGCCCTCCGGGTGGGGTAAGGTCCTGGGACAGAGAGAGAGGAACAGCTGGGGAGACCCAGGAGGGCAAGGCTGGCAGCACATCCAACACACCCTCCCTCAAAAGCTTTGCCAGGCTTTGGCTGTAACTGAGCCGATCCTATGAGAATCAAAGCCCTAAAAATGGCCAAGACCACCGTAAAGTAAACGTGGAGGACCCACACTGCCAGAGCTGGGGCCACATAGCTGGGTCCCGTGGTGCTGGGTAAGAAGGGGACACGGGCCAGGATGGAGCCTAGACAGAGACCGCACAGATGTGGTCAGCAGACAGTAAAACTGCTCACAACTTGGGGGTGTGAAGGGAAGCTCTTTGAAATGAATGGTTCTGAAGTACCTGGATTTCCATAAAGGAAAAAAAAAAAAAAATCCTGACCTCTGCTTTACTCCAAGCACAGAAATTAATATGGAATGGATCATGGCCTTAAATATGAAAGTTAAAGTGATAAAGCTCTCAGGAGAATGAAAAAGAGAATACTTCCATGACCTTGAAGCAAAGAAACAAACCCAAACAGTGCGTTAGGCAGGTATAAAAGGCACCAACTGGAAGAGACAGGTTGATACGCTGAAAACAGAATGAAGCGCTCTTGTGGGAGGTGCTGGGAACATCTGGGTTCCGCTCAGAGCCCCAAGAGGCGCCTGAGAGCTCTCCAGGGATGGGTGAGGAAATAAACGCCACTCCACGCTGTGGAGAAGAAGGTTCTGAAGTGCGTGCTCGCTGCCGGGACAGAGGAGCTGGAGCCGGAAAACCCCAGGGGTCGAAGACACCGTGAGAAGCTTCCAGAGACATTGTGGGGAGACTTGCTGCGGTTCTGGGGAGGCCACAGCACACTGCCAGAGTTCCCTGCTGGGCTCTGCTGAGCTGTTGGACAATGAAGAGCAACGGATGGGGTCTGCAGAGTTGGCTGAGTCCAGCATCCACAGCTCACCTGGCCGCCAGCCCAGGTCGCCCCTTGTCTGGCCACAGCCTGCCGGCCAGGAGCAGCCAGCATGGCGCCCACGGAGGCCCAACTCCCCGATCTCCGTGGGCGCCAGGATCAGTCTCCAGGGAGACGGCACCCACTGTCCCAGCCTGATCTCAGGAAGCTTGGTGCATCAGTGAGCCTGAAGCCCCCCCAGGACATAGGCAGACCCTCAGACCTGGGCACTGCGCCGTCACCCTCAGGCGACCTTGGGCAGGGAGGCAGGCTAGACACTGAGCCATTGCTCCCCTAGGTGGTGGCAGCCTGCAGGGTTTTCCGCTTTTTGAGGCCAGAGAGGGAACCAGGGAAGACACGTGTGGCATCTGGGGACAGTGCCGACAGCCCTGAAGCCTGGCACTGGGCCCGCCATCCAGACCCTGCCCCTGTAACGAGGGCCGGCGGGACCTCCCCCCAAGGGCCGTTACACGAGCAGCCGGCACACAGCCACTTTAGCTGCTGTCACGTAGAGGACACCGGAGGGGAGAGTGGGGTGGCCCTGAGGCCCCCAGGTCCTCTATGCCCTCCCTCCTCTCATGCCGCCTGTGTCTGCCGCTTTTTGTCCATTTTCCTTCCGCTGAGGTCTTGCTGCTCCACCGAGCAAGGTCGGGCCGCGGACCTTTGCTCCCCATTTCTGTCCCTGCTTTTGGCTTCCTCCTGGCTCTGCCCAGTGTCCACTGTGCCTCCACTGCTCTGCATTTGGTTCCCCTGATTTTTGGGGCGAGGAGAAAGGCACTGGGGAGGCGCAGGGCCCTCCCTTTTCATGGCACTGTCAGCCTGTTGAGTGCACCCCAGTCTGGTTCTAACCACTCCCACAGCCTGCTGGGCGATCCTGCAAGTCCTTAGCCCTCTGCAGAGGGCCTCAGTGAGATACCCAGGCCGCGAAGGGCAGTGAGCTGGGCCTCAGACTCCCGCCTCACACCCGCCTTCTCGCCTGCCCCTCAGTGCACCTGGGACACAGTCCTGGCGGGGAGCCCCTCTGTGCTCCCTCAGATGCGTCCCCCCAGGAACCTAGGATGCGTTAGAGCAACCAAAACACTCAAAGATGGACATTTCCACTGCCAGGTCTCGCACCTAGGAAGCCACCAGGACTGGGGGAGCAGGACACTGGGACTTACGTGAAATCTGGCCTAATCCACCCCTCCCAGTCGGGCCCACATTCCTGAACGCTTTGGTGGTAGGAAGGCCAATTAATACAGTTAATAATTAATCCCTAAGAGCACTAAGAAGCCCAGGCTTGGGTGGGGCCAGGCACCCGCAGGACACCTCCCTGGGGCCTGCCCCCCTCTCCCTCCCCTCTTGGTAGGACCAGGCACTGCCCTCCCCCAAGTCTGCAGACCTGGGCCTGGGTGGGGCACGGGGCTGAAGAAAGGGGCGCTCCTGCCACTTCTGCAGGTTCTCCAAGGGCCGTGGAACCCTCCCCCTGGAGGGAGAACTGGAACGTCCAGCTGCGGATCGCTCTCCCCTTCCCCAGACACCTCTTGCCCACCAGAGACCTCGGGGCCACCATGGGGTCCCTGCTGCCCCTCTTCCTCCTCCTGGCCCTCCTCAGCAGCTCAAGAGGGACAGGTGAGCACTGCAGCACACCTGGGCCTGGGCCTGCAGAGGGGGGAGGGTGGTGGAGGTGTGAGGGCTGACCTGGAGGACCCAGGGAGCCCTGCATGGGGAGAGGGGAGGGGAGCAGGGCGCCTGGGTCCCCTAAGGGTCCCGAGCCACACTTTCGGACCCCCAGGGCCAAGTGCAACTCTGCAAGTAAAGCTGAAGGAGCCTTCTCAGGCCCGCGTCTCCCACACCAGCCTCCCGGAATTGCTCAGAAAGGTAGTTCTTGGGAGGGGCAGACCGCCGCTTCTGAGTCACTTGGGTCTCGCTGACTCAAGGGGTTCTGTCTCCAGGGCCAGAAGGAAGAGCTGTCCTACACCTCACCTTCTGACCCTTTCTGTCCGTTAGCTCTGCCTCGTCCTCCGCCTCCCATCAGGGACCGACATCACCCTCCATCATAAGGGACCCCAACACCACCTCATCTGCAGAGCCTGAAGCCACTGCAGGCCATGCCTGACCCGTCTTCAGCAGGGCCTGCTCCTGCCAATAAACGTGCTCTGAGGAGGGCCTGGCCCTGAACACAGGCTGGCTGGGGATTTGATTAACTGCTCAAGAACACACACACTTCCACCTGAGCAATCAGACAAGCCTGGGATGAAGGAAAGTAAGTTATCAAGTTCCTAATTTGTTCCAGGACTGCGGCTGCCCCGCTTTGGTGCTCATGGTGACCCCAAACGCCACCGTGATAGGTGCTCTGATCCCTTTCCACAGATGAGGAAATCAAAGCTCTGGCCTGAGTCCAACAGTGATGGAGAGATCAGGCACTAGGCACGTGCCCTGGTTTACCAAGATTTAAGTTCATCCTTCCTGACTTAAGCTCGGGAGTGGGGACTCAGGAAGCCCGGACAGGGATGCCAACAGAGAAACCCCCAGTACAGCCCCCTAGCCAGGGACTCACACAGGCGGTCGGGGTGGGAAGTGGGATGGGGTGCAGCTCAGGGACATGGCAAGGGGTTCAGCTGTGACAGGTGCCCAGCCTGGTCCAAGTGGTGGAGAGAGGGCGGCAGCTGAGCTTGTGCCAGCTGGCGCCATGGATGCGGTCACACAGGCCGTACTGGAGTGGGTGAGGGTTTTATCCTCCCCAAGCCTCCACGTCCTCATTCAGGGTAGACACACAGCATGTGTGGGGGACTGTTACAAAGGTCTAGGGCCAAGCTTCCTGGGGGCAAACCACAAAGCCTGTCACACAGGGAGGAAGCACTGAGGGTGGACACCTATCCTAAGGCCCAAGTCCTAGTCTCCTTTAAAGAAAAATCCCAATGCACTGACCCATGGGGCACTGAGATGTCGCTCTGTCCTCCCCAGCCCCCCACCAGCCCACCTCCACACCCAGTCACCACCCCCACCATGACAGGAAAGCCTAACTCCCCACGGAAGAGGAGAGTTCATCCCTGAGGATGAGGGGCACAGAAAATGAGAGGGAACAAAAACAGAGGTTCATCTACTTTCCTTTGCAACTGTCTTGGGATATTCAGCCTAAGCAGGTAGTCAGAAGGCTCCAAAGGATCAGTATTTCATGACCTCCCCTCACCTGCGTGAGTGGGCAGGTGACTTCCGTGGGCCAGGTGTACAGGTGCCCCAGACAAATCGGAGGACTGGATGTCTGAATCCCCAAAAGCTTGGAGGAGCAGAAAACAAACTGCTCCTCAGCCTGGCCCCTAGAGCTTAGTACTTGTGATCCCAGAGTGTGGCTTCCAAACCATTCTCCAAGAACTGTTTTCCCTGAGCCAAGACAGGGCTGAGAGCAGCACAAGAGCTCAGGGTGGCAGAAGGGCTCATCGACCCCCAATAGCCATTCTCTTCTCTTGAGTCGTGAACATTTCGGCTGGGCGTACAGCTCATCCTCTCACATTTCACGGCTCCCTTGCAGCTAGGTGTGGACAAGCAACTAGGCTCTGTGTGAAATTTCCTGGTGATAACCCTTGAATGGGAAGGCGCTTCTGCTTCAGAGGGAATCCAGTTCTTAAAACAGCCCACGACACTTTCCAACAGAATTTCTGGATGATAGCAATGTTTTATAACCGTGCTGACTAACGTGGCAGCCACTACACATGTACGGTTGTCAACGCTTGAAATGTGGCCAGTATGGGTGAGGAGCTCAATGTTTCCTGTTACTTCATTTTAATGGCTTTAAGCAGTCAACCAGTACAGCCCAAAGGTGCTTCCCTCCTCCCCACTGCACCCCCAGCTCGCTGGCTTCACCTCCCGAGACGCCCCTTCACATGCTCTGCCCTGCGCAGTGGCCTCCTTGCTGCTCTAAGAATCCTGGGAATGTCCCCATCTTTGTGTTGCTCTGGCTTTTCATTTCATCTGGAAGGTTTTTCTCAACAGCCATACAGCAAATTCCTGCACCTCCCACAAGTCCTTGCTCAAATCTCACTCTACAGGATCTACACAGATCCCCAATAATACAACCTGCCCAACACACACACACACACACACCCTTACCTTGTTCTATCCCATTTATGACTTCCAAGCATACTATATAACTTACTTGCGTGCACTGCTCCATTCTAACTGCCCCTGGTGGGATGAAAGAACAAGGGCAGAAATCTTTGTTTCCTTCACTGATGAATCCAAGTGTCCAGAAGAGGACCCAGCACAGAGTAGGTGCTCAAGAAATACTCACTGGACCCAGGAAAAAGAAACAGGAAAGCGCCTAACCCCTTCTTAATCTTCTTCCCCGTGGATAAAAGTGTAGACCCAGTGGTGGAGACTGGAGCAGATACTGGATGACCCAAAGTCAGGAAGTACATCAGATTGGAAAGAAAAATTAACATGTCCTGCCGGCTTACACCATCCAATGGGGCAGTTTCATGCATGTCCCACTGGTGGTTCAAGTCAGTGTGGACAGGACATGCTCAAATCAGAGATGCCTGGCAGTAAGACATATGAATTACAGCTCCGTTGTGAACACGTTAAAAGGTGTGGGGGCCCATTGTCACACAGCCTATTACTGTTCACGCCCAGCCACAGAAAGAGCCACCTAGTCAAAGCCACGACTACTATGAAGTTTGCTTACAACAGCCATAAAGGACTGAAGTTAGTTACTAGGTTAACTCCCCACTGAGGCCTCGCAGTTACTTCCATTCTGAGCACATTTCTTCCCCCCCAAAATGGGGCAAACACTCACTTTGCGAGGCCCATGCACATCTGACCACGGATGGAGGACAACTCGGGACAAGCTCACCATACACAGTCACATCTGTACTTGGGTGTCAAAGATGGGGTCCTGCGTGCCACCGAGATGAGAAGAGGGGTTTGGGGTAAGGTAACTCGGCCAGTGCGCACCTCTGACGCTTGGGTCTCAGGTCACAGTGGCCCACATCATTCCCAGCATGGCCTGCAGCCCTTTCTTGGCATCTCTATGGGTAGGTTTAGGAGCAGAGAGAGCCTTGCATCTGGTGAGGAGGAGGAAGGGTCTAAGCTGTCAGGGCATTGCAAGACTGCAAAGCAGGTGGAAACAGCAGCCCCTGCCCTGCCCCACCACTCGAAAGCGTGAGGCAGCCAGAGCCCAGCACCCACGATGCCACGTGGCCCAGACCCTGAAGCTGACAGGCAGACTCCCTCCTTTCCCAGACCAAACCCCACCCCCTGCACAATGCAGAGACAAGAAAGTCACCACTAATGGAAAGCACAATAAAAGACCACATGCAGACGTGCTTGGGATCTTAAGTTTATCTGAATCTCAGACGGGACCACACAGGGAGGAGGCGGGGAGGTAACATGTGCATCTCGAGGCCACCATCAGTGACCCATCCCATAGGCGAGCTTCCTCACCTACAAACAAGGCAGGCGGACCACAGTCCTGCGGTCCCCGAGCTCACGTCGCACCCTGACAGCCGACACTCACTGTCCGCACAGACAGGTTGAGTTAGAGCTCAGCGCTCCGGGGAGCAGGGAGACCCATCCACCAGCTGCCTGAGGTGAGAGGCCGCCTGATCCAGCTTCGACAACTCCAGCCGGAGGGAGGACAGCTAGGCGAGCAGACAAGACGGTGAGCGCCCGGCCGGCACTCCCTCAGGGTCAAAGGCTCCCTGTGGCCTCCCGAGCCTCACCCTCTGCTGCCTCTGGGTCTCTGCCTCCCCTTCTGATGGAGTCCGGGCCATGAGGCCGTCAAGCTGCTTCTGCAACTTGTGCCTTCGGGCAGCCAGCAGAGGTAGCTGGGCCTGGGGGTCTACCAGGCCCTGGGGAAAGTGGAGAGAAAGCCAAGGCACCTCCAGGCCTCTACCCCTTCCGTCCTAAGGCCCTCTCCAGCCCTTGCCTCCTGTCCAGCATTCCAGTCCCTTCTGGTCACCTGTATCTCCATGTAGACCCGAATGGTGTCACTGACAGGGGCCTGGGCCCAGCCGGAAGGAGCTGCTGCACCTGGCGGCAGGAGGCTCACAGCCCCACAGTGGCCCAGGGTGCCCAGGGGCTCCAGGAAGGCCTGGAAGAGGTCCTGCTCATCTGGCTCCAAGCTCTGTAGCAGCACTGGGAGGGAGGGCGGGAGGGAGGGCGGCCAGGGTCCAGGTCAGTTACCACCTCGGTGCCATCCTGCACCCCTACCCTGGCTCTGCCCTCCAGGTCGCCCCCTTCCCCACCAGCCCCTTCTTCCTGCAGACGCCCAGGGGCGCAGGACCCCCTCACCTCGGGGCCGGGCTCTGGCGAGCTGGTAGGTGGCTCGGAGAGCCCGCAGCACCTGCACAGCCTCCTGGACCTGGGAGAAGCCCCGCTCCAGCTCAGGCTGGCGCCAGTGCTCCTGCCGAGGGGCACTGAGAGTTGGAAAGGGGGTCCTGGGGACCTCGCGTCCACTCTCCTGGCTCTATCCCCAGCCCATCCAGCCTTGGGTCCTAGGGCAACAGATCTGCCCTCAGCACACAAAACGCCCCACCTCCAGCTAAAGCCTGGGGAGACCACTGGCTGGTGTCTTCTCCGTGACTCTGACTGAAGATGACCAAGAACTAAAACCAAACTAGAGTTTAAAACACTACTCAATCGCTTCTCGGCCTTTTGGCTAAGATCAAGTGTAAAACACTACTCAAAATTCACAAAACCAAACATCAAGAAAACAACTTCTGAGGGCCGGGGATTTAGCTCAGCGGTTCGGTGCCCTGCCTCACAAGCGCAAGGACCCGAGTTTGATCCCCAGTAACAAAAAAAAAAAAAAAAAAAAAAAAAAAAAAAAAAGAAAAAGAAAACTTTTGAAAGAATATGTAACATTTATCCTGCTAGGGTTATTAAAGCTGCCCTGAGACTTGGGGGACAACTCATTACTAACTTGTCTAACCTTCAGCACTGTGACATTTACTATCATGATGGGGGAAACTGAGGCAGTCATGCAGCTAGGAGTACCAGTCCAATAGCAAGGGCCCAGCTCTGCCGCCGACCTCACCACCCGGCAGCCCTGCAGAACAAGCCATCTCCCCAGAGGCTCCAGTCAGCTGCAGCAACCTACAGCAACCTCCACACAGCACAACCTACAGCAGTGAGGCCTGCTCCAGACCCTCCAGACCCACGACTCACCAGGCTTCGGGCACTGGGGTAGGGGGCGACACAGACACTGGGGGCGGGGGGCACCCCGGGCCTGCGGGGCAGCCTCTGCCAGAGCTCTTCGGTCAGGAAGGGCATCACCGGGCTGAGGAGGCGGAGCCCGATGTCTGCACAGTAGAAGAGGACCTGAGGAGGCCCTGGCGGGCAGGGCACACGGGCCAGCACCGGCTTCACAGCCTCCTGTGGGGAAAACCAAGGGTCAGGACACAAGGCCCACAGTGACCGCCCTCTCCTCCTGCCAGCCGTGGGAGTGCGAGGGCCAGTTCCAGGACAGGGACGCAGCACCTGGCACGTGTGAGCCACCAGCTGTCCCAGGGCATGGGGCACATGGGACGGGAAAACGGGGAGATCCGGGGCAGCGATTCTCGGAGGGGGTGAGAAAGGGACTCCAGGCAGACATGCAGTTGAGGGGAAAAAGCAGTGTTGTGCTTATCACAAGGGACAAAAGTTCCAACAGAGAAACAGCAAGCGGGGCGCCAGCCAGTCGCGCCAGCACTGCTGGGGACAAGAAACGGACGTCGCCCTCCACACCCACCCTGGGGGAGCCGCACAGCTGGGCCACATGCAGTGGACAAGCCCCTCAGGAGACTGATCCCGCACGAGGACCCCCAGCCTGCGCCCGCCACGCTGCCCTCCAGGGCCCCCCGGTGTCCACCTGCCCAAGGCTTTGCGACAGTGCTGGACTGAAACGCTGCTTCCCGGCCTGCCTCTTTTCGGGAAGTCACCCCACCCCTCCTGTGGCCAGGGGACAGACAGGCAGCAGGACCTAGGAAGCGGGGCCCAGGACTCCCCGTGCCTTCCCTGCCCAAGAGAGGGGACAACCAGGAACTCGCTAACTCTGAGCTCTCGGGCACGGATCGGCTTCCGGGGACCAGGCCGCACGTGGGAAGCACAGCCTCACCAGCCACTCACCAGGTAGACGTCGCAGAGGTTGTGCAGCCAGAAGTGGTGCAGGGTGTGGGTGACCAGGGAGAGCTCCTGGGTGAGGAAGCCGCGCTCGCACTCTTGGGCAGCCAGGGCCAGGCAGCTCAGGATCCAGGCGTCCACCAGCGAGGAAGGGGAGAGCTGTGGTCAGAGGGGCGCCAGACCCACACGGCTCAGCCCCACTGGCCTGCCTCCTGCCCCCAGCCCTCGGACATGTGACCACAGCACTCCCAGCACCACTGCTGTCGCTCACCTCCTCTGAGGGGCAGGGAACAAAACTCTCCCCCAGGGCGCCGAGGATAAAGCGCAGGGCATTCCAGATCTTGTTGCAGAACCGGCGGCAGCTCAGGACCTCAGGGACAGAGAGGTGCAGGTCGCCCCCTGGAGGAGAGAAGAGGGAGTGCGCACACGGATGGCAGAAGCCTGGACTCCCCACGGCCGCCTTCTGCTCAGCGCGCTAACTTACCCTGCACCCCGTGGGAGCACAGTGTGAATCTCAGGGCGTCTGTCCCGCACTCAGGGATCCCGTGAGGAAAGTCCTTTTTCTGCAACCGCGGAAGAGGGGGCAGATGCCTACACGGCTGCAGGGCCAGAGGCCTGGATCGCAGGAGAAATCTGAGGCTGAGAGCTGGAGGCCCAGACTGGGTGGCGGCAGTCTCACCTGTGCTGCCGCCGCAATGGCCAGCTCCGTGGGGTCCAGGTTCCCAGCCCTCAGCTTCGCCTGCAGCTCCTGGGGTGGGAGAAGAAGTCACCGGCCCACCCAGCAAGGGTCACCCCGTCCCTCACCCTCTCTCCCTCCCAGCGGGCTCTGCTCCTCAGACCGTCCCCGCCTGGAGCCCGCCCTGCATCCGCACCTGCAGCCCCACCCCATGGATGATGTCCCTCGGGTCCAGGACATTCCCCAGCGACTTGCTCATCTTCCGGCCCTGCCCGTCCCGAACCATGGAGTGAAGGAGCACCTGGGGATGTGGGGGTGCGGCAGGGGAGCTAGGACCTCCTGCCTGCGCACCCCAGGGGCTGGGGAGGGAGCGCATCAGGAGAAGGGAGCACAGAAAGCGTCACATTCAGAGCTGGGCAAGAGGAAGGCTGTTACCTTGCTGAAGGGGAGCTGGCCCGTGAGCTGGGTCCCCAGCATGACCATGCGGCCCACCCAGAACAGCAGGAGGTCACTGCCCGTCTCCAGAAGTGACAGGGGGTAGAAACGAGCAAGGTCTGAGGTCTGGGAGAAAGACTGGTAGTAAGGGCCCACCTCAGCTCCTCGGATCTGGGCGCCCAGCCGACTTCCTTCCTCCTCCGCCTCACCTCTCGGGGCCAGCCCAGGGCAGAGAAGGGGAAAAGAGCCGAGGAGAACCATGTGTCCAGGACATCCGGGTCTGGGAAAGAGAACAGGCTTGGACACAACGAAACCTCAAGTCCGCACACCCTCTGGGCCAACCCCGTCTGCAACTGAGGGCTCACCCCGGCTCCGCTGCCGAGCCCACCTTCTCTCCTAGCTGCTCCCCTCAAAGACCACCGCCCACCCTGCCACTCCACACGCACCCCTCTGCAGGGTCAGCTTGGCTCCTGGCCTTCCGGTCCGTGCTGCTGCCGCCTCTCTGGCCTCGGCCTCCGACCGCCCGACCACCCAACACTCCTCCCCGTTATCCTGTTAAAAAGGGGGGGCCACGGGGTGAGGAGGAAACACAGCAGCAGGCAGGAGACAGCTCCTTGCTTTCATGTTCTCTGTGGTCTCAGCACAACCGGTCCCTCTGGGGTAAAACAAGACACTCAGCCCGACAGCCCCTGCCACACAGCAGGCGACAGGACCAAGGCCGTGAAACGTGGCACCCAGCAGGAGCTGGGACAGGCCCTGCCACCCTCGACGCCCTCCATACCCAGTTTCCTGCCACCAACCTCCAAGTGCTCCCCGACGACCAGGTAGGCCGGAATCCGATGGCCCCACCACAGCTGCCGAGAGACGCACCAGTCCCTGCCAGGAGACACGAACAACGTCTCGGCAAGAACCCCACCCCGGCAAGAACCCCCACCTCCGCGGGCACTGCCCTCACCCTTACCCGATGTGGGCAAACCAGTGCTGCCAGCTCTTCTGGTGGAAAGAGGGACAGAGCTCCAGGGCCCCTGATGCCACAGCCTGTAGGGGAAGGGGCAGTAGCCAGCGCTCGCGTGCCTGTGGGCCTGCACCTCCAAGATGAGGCGAGGGGCCTCTGAGGTGGTTTCAAGCCCAGAAAGGACCTCAGAAGCTTCCTAAGAGGATTCTGGGCACGAGTGAGGGTACAGCAAGCCCCCTCGGGCCAACCTGTGCCCGCCCACACAGGGCACCTTTAGCTACCAGGGCTAAGGAGGGTTCAGGTGCCATCCGAGGCCCGACCCTTCCCCACGCTAAGGCCTCACCTTGGCAGCTCGGTCCCCCATTTCCTGGCAGCGGACAAACCACTGGCTCTTCAGCAGGTATTCAACCACATCCCCAGAGCGGCTGAAAGGGAGGTGGGTGAGTCCGCCATACCCTCGGCACCCAGCACGGCGTCAACAGAACCGAGAGCCTGCACTCTGACGGGGGCGGCAGAGCTCACCCCCGCTTTTGGGGTGGCCCTTCGTAACCAAGTTCAAACAGGGCTACCTGCAGATGGGCAGCACCATGGGGTGGTCCTGGACGCCCCGGAGCAGGCCCCGCTCCCTGAGGGCCGACACAATCTTCTCGCGGGCCACAAACCGGTGAACACCCTGAGGGAGCAGTGAGAGGGTGGAAAGGCCTCCCGAGACACGAGAAGGCGTCGGGGGCCGGGCAGAGGGTGCCTCCAAGGGTGGGGTGACCAAAGGCCGGCCTCACCTGCAGCCAGTCCCCACAAGGCGACACCATGGTCCCGTCCTCCCCAATGACACTGAGGAGGCTCAAGCCGTGTCGGGCCGCCATCTGGGCGTCTGCGGGACTGTGAGCTGGGGTCACCTTCACTGCCCCTGCGGTGCGAGGACAGGGAGCACAGCCCCGCTTGCGGCTTCCCAGCGCACGAGTGCCCCCGACACAGCCGCCTCTGCCAGCACTGCCCTCTCCGCACCTCACTCACCTGTGCCCACATCTGGCCGCACAGCAGTGTCCGTGATAAGGGGCAGAAGCTGCCCTGTCAAGGGGTGGCGAAGCTGCCGCCCGTGGAGATGCTGAAGGGAAAGGACGGGGTCAGGGAGGTTCTGGGGCAGCAGAGTGGAAACCAGAAGGTGAAGAGCAAGACTAAGGTGCGCAGAGACGCTCAATATCCCAGGCTTTGGGCCAACGGGAACCTTCAGTCTGCACAGTTAGTCCGTGCTGCCATCGTGACACTCGGAGAGCACATGACAGCAGCAGCCCTGGAGGACACACGGACACGTGAGTGTGGCTCTCACAGAAACAGGGCTGCCTGGATCTGGCCCAGGGGCCACAGCTGGTCAGCCGCTGACTCAGGGCAGAAGCCTAACATGAAGAGGAAAAGGGCTGCGCGGCACGGTGGCGCTGCCCGTAATCCCGGCCCTGGGATGGCTGCGAGTCCCGGGCCAGCCCGGGCCACAGAGTGAGATGAGAGAGAGCGGAAGAAGGGAACAGTTAAACCACTGCACAGCCAGGCTCAGAGAAGTTTTATAAAACGAAGAAGGAGCCAGTATCTTCCAAGGAAGGAAGAGTGGGCCCCAGGGGTGAGGGTTGGGGTACATGCAGCACGCCGTGTATTACATACCGCGTATCGGGAGTCATTGGGGTGAACGGCCACGGCCACGTCTCCGGGCAGTGTCTCCGGCCTTGTGGTTCCCACCACAACTTCTGCATCTGAAAACAAACACTGAGCATCCACGGCTGGTCATCACCTCACCCCTCACCCGGCTACCGCCAGGAGAACCCGAAACAGGAAGGGCAGGGAGCGGTCAAGGCAGGGCAGTGAGGAGGCAGAGCTAGGAACTGCAGGTACAGGGCCTGGGCCTCTCCTGAGCCATGAGCAGAGGCCTGCGAGGGCAGCTCAGCAGCGAGTGGAGCCAGGACCTGCCGGTGCCGAGCACCACGGCTCTCAGGGTCCTTGTCCTACAGGGCTGACACCAGCCTCCATAACATGAGGCTTTGGGACGTCCTGCGCATCTCTGCTCCCTTCCTCTGAGTTCTGTGAATGCCTAGAAACCACACCTGAGAACTGGTCGATCCTCTGCCTCTTTCCTGGGCAGAGGAGACTAGAATTACACTAAGCTCCCAAGGTAGGACCACGTCCCCAGATCCCCAGGGTAGGCCTCACTGTCACGGCCTGAGAAATCACGGAGCGCAGGCCAGCGTGTGACCCTCCCGAGGACCACACTCACCAGGCTCTCCATCCACCGGAAAGGCGACAGAAATGAGGAGCCCGAAAGACACAGGGCTAGGGCAGCCTGGCAGCTGGAGCTCTGTGCGCCCGGACAGGGGCCGGCTCTCCACCTGCAGGGCCACGGAGGCGCTCAAAGCAGCCGCTTGGTAGCGCTCACACCCAGGGCTCCCCTCCTGCGCACCCGCCCTCACCCAGCCTGCATGCAGTGACAGTTACAGTAACATCCACTCCGTACTGAAGCCAGACACGGGGCTGTGCTGAGCACCTTTCACCTCTACAGCAGCCCACACGGCTGGCATTCTACCACTTCTGACTGACAAGCCGAGGAAGCAGAGGCTCCACGGCCGAGAGCCACAGCCCTCAGACCAGAACACAGCCAGTCCGGCTCCGGAGCCTGAGCTCACCACGGCTGCCCTGCTCAGAGCTCTCACACACCAGCCTGTTTCCCGCCTCACCTCAACATCCGAGATGGCGGATCTTAAAGCACACGACCAGTTGACAAGCTGACGGTGGCGGTACAGCAAGCCCTCGTTGTAGAGTCGCACAAAAGCTTCAGTCACAGCCACTGAGGAGCCCTAGAAGCACCGGAGTGTCCCCGTCTACAGCCCTTCTCAGCCACGCCCTGCCTGCTTGAGGCCCCTTCATTCCCGCCCCCCACCACCCAACATCCCCTTCCAGCCGGATCTCCAACACCAACGCCCACAGGGATCCCGGCGTGGGACACTCACCTCATCCATGGTGAAACACTCCCGGTCCCAGTCCAGGGAGGAGCCCAGGGCACGCAGCTGCTCACAAATCTCGCCTCCTTTCCTGCAACCGCAGGGATTCCCATGACCAAACCGGTCCCAGGCACCTCCCAACCCAGTCCCGGTGACAGCCCTCTAGCCACATGCTAGAGGGAAACAAAGTGCACACAGCACTGGTCTCGCTCCTAGCAGCAGATGGACAGACAAAAAGACCCGTCTGGGACTTTCTGGGATATCAGAAGCGGAGGGGCAGCCACTCGGGAAATTCCAAGAAAGCTGCACAGAGAAGACAGCGCGTAGCACCAGGCCTGGAGGGATGAGATGACTACGGCACTTGGAAGATAGGAACGGTTTAGTGAGTAAGGGGAGGAAATCTAAGCAAGGAAAATGAGGCAAGGAAAGTAAGAAAGAAAAATACATACGCACATGTATGTATGCACACATATATCTTTTTGTTTTTGTTTTTTGAGACATGGTCTCACTATGTAGTTCAGACTGGCCTTGAACTAACTTTGTATCCCAGGATGGCCTCAAATCCTCCTGCCTCGGCCTCCCAAGTGGTGGAATTACAGACATGAGCCACCATACCCGGCATGCACACATATCTACACACACACAAACATGTACATTCTAATGCACACATGGCACACTTGAATGCACAGATTCGAGGAGGAAGCCACACTTGCACCAGCCAATTCTGTGACCATGGATTCTCGCCCTGGCCATCTGCCAACTCTGAGCCCTTATGCATTTTGTTTCCCTTGAGCACGGGGCAGCAGAGGTCCCAACAACCAACTGACCTGACTGCGGATGGGGACAATGCCCCAGATGAAGCGGTAAGTGCCAGAGACTTGGCAGCACCAGGGAGAAACGACAGACAGGCCAGCAACACTAGCCCAAAGAAAAGCCCACGGCTGCTGTAAACTACAAAAACAGCGGGGTTTTACTCTGAAAGTGACTCCTTCACAGCGCGCTAGGGTTGAAAAAGAAATAGAGGGCAGCACCCATCACGTTGGAGAGGGTTTAAGCAGGAGCCACTGTGAGAAGGGCTTAATTGTTTAGGACCGAGCCACAGAACAGCTACAGAACTTCACTTGGACTCCAATGTTACCCATCACAGTGACTAGGCGAGAGACAGGCGTGGAGAGGGTGCAGGCGAGATACAGACCACCTGAGAAGGTCAAGGTCAGGCCAGGCCAGGACGAGCTACACCCTCCAGTGAGAAGCCAGGCCGGCAGTGTGGCTGAGCTGGGTCCAAACATGCGCGCAGCAAGTAAAGTGGTCTGCTTGAACCCCGGCCCCTGAGAACAGCACAGACAGAGTGTGACTGCTTTCCCCCTTCTACCAACATGGGCAAGGACACACCTCAGCACAGACAGCGCCACAGTCTGGGGTACATAGACAGAGGGGCACAAATCTACAAACCATAAAGCCAGGCATAAAACCACGACCTGGCCAGATTTCAAGACTGCAGATCCCATGAAAAAACCCACTCATTCAAGTATATAGAGGAATCTAGCACAGACAGCGCCACAGTCTGGGGTACATAGACAGAGGGGCACAAATCTACAAACCATAAAGCCAGGCATAAAACCACGACCTGGCCAGATTTCAAGACTGCAGATCCCATGAAAAAACCCACTCATTCAAGTATATAGAGAAATCTTTTTTTTGAGACAGGGTCTCACTACGTAGTTGAGACTGACCTGGAACTCACTGTGTAGCCCAGGCTGGTCTTGAACTCACAGCCTCAGCCTCCCAAGTGCTGGGATTACAGGCGTGCACCACCACGCCCGGCTGAGGAACTGTTTTTATGGCACTCAATTAAAAAAATTTCTTTTCATTAATGTTTTAGGGGCTTGGGTTTTTATCCTTTTTCTTTTAATTCTAATATTTCATTTTTCCCTCAATTTCCTCTGTTTCTTCCCTTCTTATTCTTGTTATTTGCTGTCACTTTTACCTAATTCTTTTAATTTCCTTTACTTTTTTTTTTTGGTACTGGGGATTGAACTTAGGACCTCATGCTTGCCAGGCAGGTGCGGTGCTGCTGACCTAAATCCCCAGCCCCTCCTTCTGCTTCTTAAGAGAATCATTCATCTCACTTTGCTCTCCTGTCTCATCTTCCATCGATTAATTTTTCCAATTAACTAAATAGATAATGCATATAATAAAACAATCAGCAAGCTTACGAAGACCCCATTTAGAAGCTAGATGAGCTAAACAAAATGATTTTCAAAATGACCCATTTAGCAAAACATTAGAGTCAATGAACAGGTATCAAACAGAAATCTAGGAGATAAAAAAAAAAATTCTATTCAAACTATGGGCAGCAAAAATGAGCAATGTCAGGATAGAGTGGCAGAACTAGAAGATAAGGCTGATGCAAATAAGGTGATAATTATTCAGAGGCACTTTAAAAATGAGAATACTGCCAGGGATTTAGTTCAGTGGCGCTGCTGCCTGCCTCACAAGCACAAGGTCCCAAGTTTGATCTCAGTACCATAAAAATAAAAACAGGGAATACGAACAATGGCTCTATCAGCTGCTAGATGACACAAAGAAGACTAATCTAAGATTGACTGGAATTAGTGAAAAATGAGAAGAGAGCATAAATTACAAAAAGACTGTTTATAGCAATAATAACAGAATTTCCTCAAAATCTGACAGACACTGCGGAGGGAGTCCTGAAATCTTTGTCACAGCAGGAAAACACATGATAGAAAATTTCCATAACCTGCACACTGAAACCTGGAAAAATCACCCTTGCTGGGTAGAATTCATTTGATGCAGTACGTGCTAACTCATGTTCTCACCATGAGACTGGCTAGAAACCAAGACAAAGAAAAATAAGCAGATCACTCTGCATTATTTACATTTTAATCTTTGGTGGAGGAAGTTTGGGAGAAATTAGCTCTGAGGTTACAGTTTTTTTTAAGATTATGAAATAAAGTTACTTTTAAGGAAAAAAAGAAATAACAGCAGAAAACTTTCCAAATATAGGGAAATAATTAGACAAACAGAAAAGTAAGGCATATCAAATCCCAAATAGCCACGGTCAGAAAAGATCCTCTCCTGGACACAACACAGTCAAAATCCCAGAAGTCCAACACAAAGCTGTTGGAGAAAAGCAACAAATTAGCTATAAAGGTAGACCCTTAGAATTACAGTAGACTTCTCAACACATACATTAAAGGCCAGAAGAGACTGAAGTGTTTCAAGCTCAAAAAAAAAAAAATCTTCCAATCCACACATATACATCCCACAAAACTATTTCTCAAAACTGACGGAGACATAAAATCTTTCCACGACAAACAGCACCTTAAGAAACTCACAACGGACTGGAGATTTAGCTCAGTGGCACCACCCCTGCCTTGCAAGTTCAAGGTCTTGAGTTCAATTCCTGATACCAAAAAAAAAAAAGGAATTCACAACCACCAAACTAGCACTCCAAAGAATTTTCAATATTCTAGAAAGAGACAATGAAGCTAACACTGCCAAAAGGACCTAATAGAATGAATACACTAGGGAGGATGAACAGTTAAACATAAGGGGGGAAAAGGGAATCAGCAACAAGAAAAGTAATGCAATGAAAGAAATATTTTAATACCTTTCAGTAATAACTCTCAATGTGATTGGTCTCAATTCCCCAAAGACACAGACTGGCAGAATGGATCAAGAAAAACATCCACTAGTACGCTATATACAAAAAGCACATTTAACCCTAAAAAGTTCAAAGACTAAAAATCAATGTGACAGGAACCCAGGGCCAGGGATTTTGCTCAGTGATCCTGCCTCCCGCCTCGCAAGTAAAAGGTCCCAAGTTCGATTCCCAGTACAAAAAATAAATAAATAAATAAATTGTAGTCTCTGGATTACAGTGGTTTGTGGGGATAATGCAAAGTTGGAAAATGCAATAAGAACCCAAACACAAGCAGGAATAGGTACCCTATATTCAGACAAAGTGGACTTCAAGCCAAAACTGATCAAAAGAGGCAAAGGTCACTCTATATTGGTTAAGGGAACAATCCAACAGGAAAAGATAACAATTAAACATATATGCACTGAACACTGGCACACCCAACTTCATCAAACAAGCACTATGGAATGTAAAAGATCAGATAAATAACACAATTACAGTGGGAGACCTCAATACCACACTGGCAGAAATAGATCAACTAGATTTAAAAAATCAACAAAGGAGTATCAGAGCTGAACCAGGACTTAATAGATATCTAAGAGTGTTCCACCCAACAACAGAATACACATGGGACATTCTCAGCAGCACATGGGACATTCTCCAAAACAGACCACATACTAGACCATAAAGCACGCTTATATTAGTTGTAAAAGAATCAAAATTACCCCATGCACACTTGATAATATGCACAGTGCAGTGAAACTAAAAAATTAACAGCAAAAAACCCCACAGAAATTATGTAGACATATGGGAATTAAATAATACATTGTTAAATAATCAGTGGGTCACAGAAGAAATTAGTTCCTACAATCAAACAATGACGCCAGTACAACATACCAGAACCTACAGGACACAATGTAAGCTGTCCTAGAAGGGACATTTATAGCTATGAATGCCAACATCAGAAAAACACTATGAGCCCAAATAAATAAGCAAATAATGCACCACATCTTAAGATCCTAGAAAAACAAGGATAATCCAAATTCAAAGCTAGTACAAGGACTGAAATATAAAGATCAGAGCAGAAATTATTGCAATTCAGACCAAAACAAAAATATACATAAAGAGCAAAATAAAAGACAGCTAATAGGAAAAAGGTTATAGATTTTTTTTGTAAAAGGCAAGGGGACCAAGAGAGGGAAGAAGGAAGAAGATGATGATAAAAAGAATTAAGATTTGGGCCGGGATTTAGCTCAGTGGTGCCACCACCTGCCTCACAAGCACAAGGTGCCTAGTTCAATCCCCAGTATCAAAATAAACAAAAAAAATTAAGATTTGTTACCTACGCGGACCGCTCTCCACGAGGAAGGTATCATTATCTACTCCAAACATGTACTAATAAAAACTGAAACAATTTAAAAAGCATGGAGAAGGCTGGGCATGGTGGCGCATGCCTGTAATCCCTGCACTCGGGAGGCTGAGGCAGGAGGATTGCTGAGTTTGAGACCAGCCTGGGCTACATAGTGAGTTCCAGGTCAGTCTCAAATACATAGTGAGACCCTGTCTCAAACAAACAAACAAACAAACAAAAAAAGTGTGGAGACCCCACTAAATACCAGGAGTCCCAGAGCTCCCATCTCAGGAGGTGAAGGCCAGGAGCGGAAGGTAGTGGGTGTGTGGCCCTGCAGCCCTGGCCGCATACTCACGTCTCCTTCCACTGCCACACGGCCCTAAGGAACTCCTCCTGGCTCAGCTCGTGTCTCCTCACTCCCCGCTCCTTCCACAGTTGTTTCTCCACTACAGCCTGCAGTAGGATTAGGGCCAAATGAACAGCGAGTCAGGTCACTTCTATGGGAAAACGTACTTTCAACCAACCAGAGAAAAACAAGGACAGACCCACCTGTGTAGCAATTCCTGCATGATCTGAGCCAGGGACCCACAGCACTTGATCCCCACGCATCCGGTGCCTACAACAAACACCTTCACGTGAGCCCTTGGACTCACTCCCACACTTTCTACCTCCCCTCCAAGAACTGCAGCAGCCCCCACAGCCCTTACCAGCGCACAAGGGCGTCCTGGATGGCCACAGTGAGTGCATGGCCAATGTGCAAGGAACCTGTGACATTGGGAGGTGGGATACACATGGAAAATGTCTCCCCTGTAGCATGGGGCAGTCGCGCCTAGGAGGAACAAGGAAAGTCAAAGGGCAAGCGATGACTGGGGGACAGCACCTTCTGGTGCCTCCAAGACAGACAGAACTGCAAGAAAGAGCCCTGGGCAAGTAACAGGAACATGGTGGGGCTGGGGAGCGCCAAGAGGAACCTCTGCAGGGGCCACTGGCCACGGAAGATGAGCTCACACTATGAGCCTGACCCTAAGGTTCAGCTGTGCCATGTGGAGACCACCCAGTACCCTCTCTGCCAGCTTCCACTAACCTGATACTCTGGTTTGAAGAAGCCTTCTCGTACCCACCACTGGTACCAAGCAGCTTCCACATACTGGGGGCTGTAAGCAGGAGGTACGGGCCCAGAGACATCTAAGAACAGAGGAGGGAGCCACTAAATACCGAACTTTGTTCCAGGCTGCAATTCAGCAAACCAAACAGCCAACAAAATGAGGCCTTCAGGTTCCCCGGTTACCTTTCTTTTCACCAGGTTCCGTGGGAATTTCATATAACACTATCTCCTTGGGACTCCAGGTCTTCCTGGTTTCTGCAGGTGACTATGGGGGAGGGACAGAAGGGGAGGCTTGAGCTTCCCAGATAGCAAGGCCATTTGGATCGCACCTCAGCCTTGGGGATCCCACCCACTCCCACGTTTCAGGAGGCCCAAGGATAAACTGTCCCACCCCCAACCTTGCTCTGCCGGGCTATTCCAGCCTGCAGCGCCGCCTGCTTCTCGCGCAGGCGCTTCTGTTTGGCCTCTCGGTTTCTTTGGGAGATGGGTGATCCATGGGGCTCTGACTGTGTAGAGAGGGAAGGGGGCCTGGGAAGACTCCGCGAGGGCCTCAGCCCCCAAAGCGACGGTCGAAGAAAAGCGGTCAGAGGTAAATGAGGCATCAGGAGTGTTTGGGGAAAGGGCGAGATCTGTCCCGGACAGACAGCACATGAGACCACGGGTATGCAGGAGCTCAGAGCTCCAAACCTCTCCCTTTATTCCTGATCCCGAAAGCAGTGGCCGCATTCCATCTCCTGGCACACCCTTTCTCGACGGCTGCAGTGACAGGGCTGTTGTACAAGAACAGACCAGGCGCCGCTAACCCCAGGACACACAGGGGGTGGAAGACTCGCACGTCAGGACGTGAGGGACCTCCGCGCGCTGAGAACCGGCAAGAGGGCCCCTCCTGGGTCACAGCAATCGCGGGTCCCCCGAGTCCGCGCGGCGCGGCCTTTCCGAAAGCCCCAACGCGCAGGACTCCCACCTC